TTCCTTTATGACAGGGATTCCAGGTCCTTAAGAGATGAATTCCTGGTCCTTATGGCAGGATTTCTGGTCCTTATGGCAGGATTCCTTTTCCTTAAGGCAGGATTTCCTGGTCTTTATGGAAGGATTCATAGGTCCTTACGGCAGGATTCCTGCTCCTCACGCACACGATTCCTGGGTCTTTAGGGCAGGATTCCTGGTCTTTATGGCAGGATTCCTGGTCCTTATGGCAGGTTTCCCTGGTCATTATGGCAGGATTCCTTTTCCTTATGGCAGGATTCCTGGTCCTTATGGCAGGATTCCTGGTCCTTATGGCAGGATTCCTTTTCCTTATGGCAGGATTCCTGGTCCTTATGGCAGGATTCCTGGGTCCTTACGCCAGGATTCCTGGTCCTTACGGCAGGATTCCTGGTCCTTACGGCAGGATTCCTGGTCCTTATGGCAGAGATTCCTGCTCCTTATGGCAGGATTCTGGTCTTATGGCAGGATTCCCTGGTCCTATGGAAGGATTCTGGTCCTTATGGCAGGATTCTGGTCCTTATGGCAGGATTCCCTGGTCCTTATGGCAGGATTCTTGGGTCCTTATGGCAGGATTCCTGAGTCCTTATGGCAGGATTCCTGGTCCTTATGGCAGGATTCTTGGGTCCTTATGGCAGGATTCCCTGGTCCTTATGGCAGGATTCCCTGGTCCTTATGGCAGGATTCCCGGGTCCTTATGGCAGGATTCCCGGGTCCTTATGGCAGGATTCCTGGTCCTTATGGCAGGATTCCCGGTCCTTATGGCAGGATTCCCTGGTCCTTAGGGCAGGAGTCCCGGGTCCTTAGGGCAGGATTCCCGGGTCCTTATGGCAGGATTCCTGGTCCTTATGGCAGGATTCCTGGTCCTTATGGCAGGATTCCTGGTCCTTATGGCAGGATTCCCGGGTCCTTATGGCAGGATTCCTGGTCCTTAGGGCAGGAGTCCCGGGTCCTTAGGGCAGGATTCCCGGGTCCTTATGGCAGGATTCCTGGTCCTTATGGCAGGATTCCTGGTCCTTATGGCAGGATTCCCGGGTCCTTATGGCAGGATTCCTGGTCCTTAGGGCAGGATTCCCGGGTCCTTAGGGCAGGATTCCCGGGTCCTTATGGCAGGATTCCCTGGTCCTTATGGCAGGATTCCTGGTCCTTATGGCAGGATTCCCCGGTCCTTATGGCAGGATTCCCGGGTCCTTATGGCAGGATTCCCGGGTCCTTATGGCAGGATTCCTGGTCCTTATGGCAGGATTCCCGGGTC